CCCTGTCCAGGGGATATTCCATGGACACAGAATTCCTTCCCTACCAGCAGGAGGAGTTTCCAAGGCACAGTCAGCACCTCCACAAATATTTTGTGGAATGAATTCCTCAAGCCAAWGCAGAACCAGGAGCTTTGGGCACTTTCTCACAGCAAAACCAATTCTCCTCCACATCTCTGTGCTTCAGGTGTTCCTTTGGGATATCTGCAGTGTCACCCCACACCCAAACCACCCCAAACTGCCTGGGRCACACAGAAAAACCCCTAAAAACCCCCCAGGAGCAGGAGCAGCAGAATTTCCCCCTCTGAGCTGGCTGTACCTCGGCTGGTGCTGATTTCCTGGTCCTTGGGAGCATCTCTGCCTCCATCTCCTCCATCCTTTGCTGGGTCTCTCCATCCCAGTCTGGCCCAGGCTCCTGGGACTGGCTGGCCAGCTTCAGCTTCACCCAGGCTGCCAAAAACACACAACACAACAGCTTTCCTTTCCATTTCATGTACAAAAACAGTTTCATCACTTTAAACCATCATTTCCAGTTACCCCAACCGAGAGAACAAAGACTGTATCCAATTCCAGAGCCCGGCAGTGACCAGGAACACAACGAAAAATGGCTTTTTACAACATTTCTTTGCAGAGATGGCTCCAAGACCCTTCCTGGTTCTGCCAYGTTTAAAGCTCAAAGCTCACAAGTCAAAGCTCACTCACAAAATCCTTTCCCAATTCCTGACCTTGTAACTGTGTGGACAAAATACCCCCTTGCACTGATGGCAGGCAAAGGTTCCAAACTGGAAAAGCCCAGTTCTACCCCATTCTGTCACAGTGCAGAACTTCCCTAGGAAGAATTCTGTCCCATTAAAGCTTCCCCCTATAACAAAAATAATCCCGTTAAAGCAGGGAGCAGATCAGGTCCCCTCACATCCATATCCATCAATCCCATGGACACAACCCCAGTCCCAGATGTGCCACTGGACTAAGCCCAGGACAAAGCCCAGCTGGGGCTGTGCTCACCTCGGATCTTCCTCTCCTGCTCCTCTGCACTCCTCAGGATGTGGTTGGCATCGATGCCAGGGGCTGTGCCCCTCAGGAGGCTGCGCACACGGGCAGCCAG